CACAGCTACGCTTCTCATAAATACCATCCTCAGTATTTTTTTTTCTTGAAAAATGAGGGATTTTTCCTTGCTCTTTTTTTTTTCCTTCAGAATAGACACATAACATTGCTGCAGCTTCCCTCAGATGCATGCAATTTTCAGTGGTTTCAGAGTACATATAGACACATATAGAGTTCAGAGGAGTCCTCTTCTTCATAAAATCATTCAGCTAGGTCAGGTTTGGAGTAAAAAGTAATTTACAGTGTCCTTTCATCATACCCTTGGTGAAAGAGGGTGCAGTAACTACTGGCAGACTGTCCCGTTCTCCATATATTTAGGGTTCTGCACCAGGTCCTTCTGACCTTGAGGATATTACATTAGTACCACGCTTGTCATTCACTACTTCTTCTTTGACAATCCCAGGGATTAAATGAACAGGAACATATCCAGTTCTACATTCTGGACTATCTGTCTCCAGTAATTAAGCCTTAATGTCTGCCAGCTATCATATACAGCCACTTGCATATCCATTTCTGAGCTAACAGCGATGGTGAGCAGAGCAACAAGGAATATTTTGGCCCATAATATACTGCGTTCCTCTTTAGAGGAACTGATGTTGATGAGAGAACGAAACAGGGACTTTCTTTTGACTAATTACGTGTGCGTGTGCTTGCTTTCTCTCTCATGGATACACACAAACACAGGCATATGAGCTATGTACATTCTTAAACTCCTCTCAACTTCTGGACTACACACAATGATAATAGTTATAAAAAATCCAAATCACATACATAAATCGACCACCTAAATATTAATATCTGTTTCAGTGTCACTTCAAATACTTTTTCTTCCTGAGAAATCTTAACTCTGATGTCATCTGATGAAGAGTAGACAGAAAGAGATAATATAAAAAGAGAAATCCAGTTTTGTTCCCTTCAAGGTAAAAATTGTAATACAAAGAAACCCCTCACCCTATTTTCCTTAAGCAGTGCCGTATTCACTGTGCTAATTTTGCAGAACAAATAGTCATAATCTATTTGGTGTGTATCATTACAAATGTATTAACAAGCGGTAGCTGAGGGATTTTACATTTAAAATAACAAGCCATGCAACAGAGAGAAGCAACTACCCCAAGGGCAAGCAAAATGGATTTCCTGGAAGAGAAAACTCTACACAGAGGTCTATGGAGATGTACTGGAAATACCAAGGCTATTTCAAAGTACTGACAATTGCCTAGTTGCAATGTTTGTTATTTGAAACAGATTTCATAGTATGTGCATGTACATACATATATATAGAGGAACTGAGGTATTTACTATTTTTTTTAAACTGACATAGACTTTTTGTTATTCTCTTTTGTTTATCACACAAAGGGCCTCAACAGAGGCTACTCTCAGCAGTTTTCAGTTGCAGCAACTTTAACTCCCTTTCCAAGAGACTGCAAGAAATGCTGATGCTCCAGTTTTTATAGCACGGGGCTAGGCTGCTGTATGTTTCAGATCAGCTATTAGGTTTTGTGACTCTGGGAGTGTGAGAAAAATTTCAAGTATTGATTCCGCTCTCTTGCACAAGGTTGTCTACCTCTCGCTCATAATTCTTTACCAATGTTTTCTCCAACTATAAAATAAGATCACGATCAAATTAATATTGTGAAGGATTCTGCCATTCTCTGAATGGTCCTGGGTTCTCTCTGCGTATTTCTATAAATGGCTTTAGTAACAGAGAACATCAAACTGATAACTGAAGTGAGAACCACAATTTGTCAAACATGCATCTCACAGCTTTCATGTTTACAAAACATGGTTGCTTGCTCTTTTGAGTAAGGCTCTCTATATTACTTCTTCTTTCAAACGTACCATGTTCTTTCTGCTTGCATTCATTTTGTGGTCATCTTTGCCAAACTGGTGCAGAAAGAAACGCAAACAGGGAAGGGGAGGGTAATCACAGAACTGTGGAGAGCAGTTAAACTCAAGGCTGCTGGGCAGAGGAAGAGATCTGTGAGTCTGAACTCTGTCTCCCAAGGGAAACAGTTCCGAGAGTGGTGCCACATGTAAGAACAGAAACGAAATTTTACAGAAAAGAATACTAATGATGGCTATAAAATCTTACATTTTCTCTTCCTTTTAATTCTACAAGTTATGTATTTTACCTAATTAGCTAAGAAAGTGCAAAGACAGGAATGGTTATTTAATGGGTTATTTAATAAACCCATACACATGCCCACGCTCACAACTTTCACAGCATCTGCATTTATTCTAAAATCTTTGTTTCACTTACATACAGAAGAAATGTCAGTATGAAATATGGCATCCTACTCAAAACAACCTCAGCTCTTTGTATTACTTCAAATACCAATGACAAAAGCTAGTCTTTCTTCCAGTTAGAGCTGATGACCCAGTGCTGTTATGGAAGAGCGACCTGAATTCTGTTGTGTTTTGTGCTCCATCAACAAAGCTGCCAGTAAAGCTCTAATCTTTGCAAAATCTTTATTACCACTAATATATGAGAAAAGGAAGACTATAAATCATTAAACAGAACCTGTGCTGATTTTGCACTACTGGACTTTTGATTAATCATAAGAAATTATAGATTAAACACTCTGGATCTGGGAATCTATGAGAGAAAGTAAGCATAGACCCTTAACATATTTCTTTTTTCTACAGCAGCTCTTCAGATTGTGGCCACTTTCCTAGAGGTCATCTTGCAGTACAGAGACCAAGAGACTATGCTGCTGTTTAGCACAACGAAAATAAAAGCTACCCAGAAACAAGGTAATCATGCAGATACTCTATAAAAGTTGTAAAATGAACTCCACTTCAAAAGCTTACAAATCAAACTAAGGGTTGACAGAATTTTAAGTCCGCCTAACTTCTGGACCATTGCTAAATCTGAATCACACATCATCTCCAAACTACAAAAGGTGAGAGAACTAACAGAAAAAAACCCTCCCAAACAAAACCAACAACTTTCTTCCCCCCCCCATGCAAGCATACAAAGGAGGTGTTCTACAAATACTCAGCTTCGGAAGCAAAATTGCAGTACCAGAGATTTCTAGTTAACTCCAGCTGGCGTTTCTAACTACTATAGCAAAGATCACGTGCCTACCTCACAGCAGCAGCGTGTAAAATCTCTTCTCTGTTTCATCTGCTAAAGCTCAACTCGATGCCTGTTCCTGGGGCTCATTAGTGTGCCACAGATGTTGCTGGATAACCTTGCAAAAAATATTTAAGCTGCTCAGCCCTGGCCTCATTTGTTTTGAACAGATACCTTCTGTGCACCTCTTCAAAGCTGTACCTCTCAGTGGGGTGTTCGGTACATCATCTTCCTCAAGTTTGGAGGTTGTTTTCTTAGGCATTTCCCCCTCAGTCATGGCTTACAGACACAGAAAAAATGCACTCTGTTTTTCTTCTGCACCCACTGCTTGCCCACTTACGTCCATAGCACAAATTACACCAGATACATGACTAGTAGCATTTAACTTGAAAGACAAAGAAAGGAAAACACTCCCAATAGGTGCCTGGCTAACGTAAATTTTTACTTGTTCTTAAAACCATTTACCTGTATCCACAGCACAGTTACGCAGTATTTTAACAGTCAATGGTCTGCTACAAACATTCACCAGCTAACACTATCACTTCCCAGAGTCCTTTGGCTCTGTAAAACTATTTCTGGACCCATCACCCTAATCCTCACCTTCGGATGAGGAATTAATAATCCTAGTATGAAGAAAATCACTCTTCTTTCCCAGGACATTATAAAATTCTTGGTGTTTCTTAAAGTGAGGGTCAGAACTGAGGAGACTGAAATAAAAGAGCATTACAGATGTCTGCTTTCTATGCATCTCTTTTATATGCAGCTCCACACATATCAAATTTGCTCACTTCATAGGAGTAGGGAAACAAGCAGCATAAACATTTTCCAGCAATCAGGTTTGTATTATGGCATATTTTTTACACTAAAAGGTTAAGCTGTGCTTTTCTTCTCGTTACTTGCACTGCTATCCGTCAAAGGCAAAATGAATCCTGCAAAATGAATGCAAGCTGCCTCCTCCTCCTCCTGATTCCGATTAGACCCTCAATGGGAACAAAGAAATCCCAATTCCATTTTGGAGGTGTGTTACAGGTGTCACTCAGAATACACACCAAGGATAGCAGCTGTTTCGCTGTCTCTTAAAATCAGAATTTCATTAGCTTTATATTACAAAGCTCTGCCACAAAGGCTTTGCACCATTCATAATCCACTGGTTCTGTTTCTCTGATTGTGACCCCCAAATAAGTGAACTACTGCTATGAGTGCTCCTCGGAGGAGAGCTGTATGCTTTACTAGAGAAGGTTTCCTCTCGCAGCAGAGCGTAACTTTGAACACAATCACGCTTCAGAACTTGCACAATAAGTTTATCTTACAAAATATTGGAGTCATCTACAGTTATGTGAAAAAGACTTGTTTTTTTCTGGGCCCAGAATATTCTCACCAGCTTTGCAAAATCATATGAACACTGGAAGACAAATTGGATCTGGACCCTCAAAATCGTTTAGGTTTGTTATTATACTTACAGCTACTTTCACTTCAAGACTGAAGGCCCAAAATTGCAAAAGAACAAACAAAACACAATTGCCCTTCCAATTAGTTTTACAGTTAACAGAACGTATTAAAGCTAGCGATAAGAAATTTCTTCCTTTGTAGAACTACCTTCACCATCACCACCGCATTTCAAATGATATTAGAATCAAGGCAATCCAGGTATTTTTGATTAAGCCAAACCATTAGCAATAAACTAACCAGCGTTTTGTAAATGGAACTTCCCCAGTTAAACTTTGAAATCAGACACTAAAGTCATAAAAGAAGAAAAATTTAGAGCAATAACAGGAAACATAAAGAAAAATCTGCAAAAGCGTTTCAAGGTTCAACCTGCTCTATCTGTCACTGTCATGCGTTCTACAGTGCAGCAGGTCAGCCAGTTCAGCTGATCACTTCACGTCCTGCCTAGGCTTCAGTGGATGTGGGACAGCTGGAGAGTTTACCTGTCAAAAGAAGGCTTCTCTCCGCAGTCAAATGCATCCTGTAACTCCTTGACAAGGTTAGCTTGCCCAGGCAGTCGAAAAAGCCCTTCTTCCTTTAGCCCCCGCTGTCGGATAAAATCCACACACTGCTCCACCAGCATAGGAGCCAGGCGGTTCCCATACCGCTTTTCATATCGTACAGTATCTTCCAGCTTCTGGCCAAAAATACCTGCATAAAGAGAGATGTGACTTGGCTGAGACTCAGAAAATGTTTTAGGAGCCTATGTCTTATGTTGAAACCCACACAATTCACAGGTTGCTTAAATACACAAATAATTACTCTTTTCCTAAGGCTTTAACACTCAATTTCACACTTGATACATGAAAATATGATACTGTTAAATTTTACAGCAGTGCTTCAAAGCATTTTTAGAAATACACTATAAATGGCTCTTCAGATAAGAAGTACAAAATATACAGAAACAACACAAATAGAATTTTCTGTCATAAAACTTCTGATTCAAAAGCAACACAAACTTCCATCCACATTGTGCTTCATGACTAATTACCCATTTAAAATGAAGTAGTTTCAATATCACTTTCAATGGCACATAAATTATTCCTTTACACATTGAGGGAAAAGATCTCTAAATATAATTTGAGATTTCACTCCCACTGAATCAAAAAATAAATTAAATTTTCACACATAAAAAAGCCCATTCCTATAATTTATGACCAGCTGCACTATCACTTTCTGCTTCAGCAACAAGAAATGTTGTGCATGAAAAACAATCATGACATGAAGAGTGAAATATGTCAGACTGAAACGGCAGGAAACCAGTGTCTGGACTCATCTTGAGAAAAACGTGGAAATTTATTGTCAAAACTCACTTCAACCTGATCCAAGGAGATCATTGCTGGCAGCAGAAAGATAGCTATTCTTATAGCTTATTTTCCCCGTCCCCTTCCAACTGCAGAACTAGCCATCATCACAATAACGTTCAGCCATGTCATCTGTGACGCAAACTCTCTCTTGAGAGCATTTGTTAACTAGAACTGGGGCTGAAGCAAAGCAATTCAACTTACAAGTATACATACATATATGTATACATGAAGACAATGAATAGTTCTAAGGCAGTCATGATCAGGAACTAAAGACCACGTAACTACCCTACACTTGAAAGGCTCCTTTTGCAATTACTTCAGTCATAAAGCGAAAAAGAAGTAAGAGGTCAAACTCTGCCCTTCAGCATGTGTACAGGTCCTAGTGGTTTAAAAACGTTCAACAAGGAACAGAGATTTGTTTTGTTTTGCCTTTTTAAAGAAAGCCCAACGTTGAGCCGGTCACCTTCTACTTTTGGCTCTCACCCCCAAAACTACATCAGCCATAAATTACCAGCACATGAACAAGTAACCACAGGCTAAGGTAGGATGCAGATTAAAGTAGCTTGTCAGTGACACCAGAGTGACCTTCAGGGTGTACGTTTTTCCTGCAGCAAAAAAAGGTAACTCACGCTCCCACCCTGGGGGCGGGGGAAAGTTGCCTTGCACGTGCTCCAGGATGTTGTGGCAAGTGGGCAGCAAGTTGTCAGTTCTTTATCTATTTGTTGGCAACCAATAGCGAAAGTCTAGGGTTTGTAGTTAGGTGCAATTATTCTCACTGTAACACAGGAAATGACTGGAGAGTAACTGATGTCCAGCCAAGTCATCCAGAAATTATTCTGGAATGCAGAGCAGCACAATCTGTAATTTCCACAGTACTCACGCTTGTGGATGCCAAGAACAGCAGTGGGTAAGGGGACTGAACATCACACAGTCGATCTTTATTATATTAGCCCACTTCTTTCCATGTTGTACAACAGCCAAAACCTAGCACTTAACAATCAAAGGATAAATTTTTGAAATTTCAGAGTGAATCAAGCTTGTAAGAATACTGACTGATGCGGAAGGTTTGCTGTCCAGAGTCAGCCTCTCAACGCTGACAGATGATGGAAAATATGTTTTCTTATTCCTTACATACCTTCCTAACCTCCTGCAAACTTCCTGTGGGGGTACTGGCACTATCAAATGAATTTGGGTTTCTTTTAGTTTTCTGAGCTAAGGGTTGCTGCTGGTCAATATTGAGGAAATCCTCAAACTCCTCCATTTTCTAGCCCCTCTTTCTGAAAATAGTGGAGTTAAGAAGAAAGGCCCATTGAAAGGCCATAAGGGAATCACTGTGATTAGGGGAATTCGGAGTTTCCAAAGCCTCCTTCTGCTTTTGGAATTGCACGCGAGACCTTCAAGCCAAACACACAGCTCATTTAGGGGAATCAATTCAGAATTCACTTCCAAGAAAGCTAAGTTTTCACAAATGTAGGCACTTTTAGAGCTATTGTTAAGGGGAAACACATGCCTTTCCAAACAAAAGCATCTATTCTACAAACTGAAACAAATCCAAATCTTTTTTGGTAGTAGGATGACATGAAAAACTCAGCTAAACGCAGATTCTCCATGACTTGAACCTTGCGTAGTATAAGCTCACTGGCCAAATAAAGGAAACTGCATGAGACACCGTTTCATAACTGGCCCAAATCTACTGCCCTGAAAATCTTGTAAACCACTATTCTTCTTAGTAAATTTTCACTCTGAAAGCGTGTACAAGCTTATCAACGTAAAGGAGAATAGTGGTTTCTCTGCCTTCTAAAAAATACTTTTTTCTTTTTTTTTTTCTTTTAAATCAAGAGAGGTGGCCAGGGTTGGAAATCAAGCTGGATATGTTATTGTATGAAGGAAACTCAAATTTTTTTCTTTGTTTTTTCCCAACAGCCTTGCAAAGGTTTCTGCACTGCTGTAGCTCTGCTGAAGCTTTAGAGTCATGAGATCGGATTACAGAGGAAGGGACCTCAGGAGGCCATCCAGTCCAACCCCTTGCCCAAAGAAGGGACAACTATGACATCAGACCAGGTTGCTCAGGGCTGTATCCAGTCGGGTCTTGAAAACCTCCAAGGATAGAGGCAGGATGACCTCTCCAGGCAACCTGTCCCACTGCTTGATCGTCCTCACGGTGAGAAAGCTTTTTCTTATATCCAAACTCTCATTTCAGTTTATGTCCGCTTTCTCTCATCATCCTGCCATGCACTGAAGCGAAGAGATACAGGAAGGCTGCTGCTGCTGCTGCTGCTGCTGGGTCCTCCCAAAGTCTTCCCTTTTCCAGGCAGAGCCCCACTCCCCCAGCCTCTCCTCACAGGGCAAGCGCTCCAGCCCCCAACCATTTTGGTGATCGCGCTGAACCCCCTCCAGTTTACCATCCTGTATGGACACAATATTTTATACACAGTCTAACAAACACTGAATATAGGGGAATGCACACTTCCCTCCATCTACTGGCCGTGCTCAGAGGCAGGATGACCTCTCCAGGCAACCTGTCCCACTGCTTGATCGTCCTCACGGTGAGAAAGCTTTTTCTTATATCCAAACTCTCATTTCAGTTTATGTCCGCTTTCTCTCATCATCCTGCCATGCACTGAAGCGAAGAGATACAGGAAGGCTGCTGCTGCTGCTGCTGCTGCTGGGTCCTCCCAAAGTCTTCCCTTTTCCAGGCTGAAAGAGTCCCACTCCCTCAGCCTCTCCTCACAGGGCAAGCGCTCCAGCCCCCAACCATTTTGGTGATCGCGCTGAACCCCCTCCAGTTTACCATCCTGTATGGACACAATATTTTATACACAGTCTAACAAACACTGAATATAGGGGAATGCACACTTCCCTCCATCTACTGGCCGTGCTCCTGGTGATACGGCCCAGTATGCTGTCGGCCTTCCCTGCTGCTGGGGCGCGCTGCTGGGTCTGCCCAGCTCACCGTCCATCCCCCAGGGCACCCGGGCCTTTTCCAACAGAGCTGCCCCCCAGGCAACCAGGCCCCTGCCTGGGTCTTTGCAAGTGCTCTTCCTTCTCAGGGGCAAGACTTGACCCTCCTCCTCCAAGTTTGCCCTGCTACCTTATAGGCTGAGCTTTCCTTCAAGAGCCCCTAAGATATCATGGTTCTAACATAAGAGTTTTCGACTCTTTCCAAACAAAATTCATCCGTATAAAACATGGATACCCCTATTACATGCTGTACAATCACAACTCATGCCCACTGACAGTGCAACTAGTATGAATAAGCTCTGTCCGATTACTTATACTTTCTTCCCTCCATGATACCATTCTTTAGAATAACGTGCCTATTAAAGAGCAGCCTCCATATGCAGAGGAAAGAGTAAGTTCTCAAAACTATCAGACTGCTTTGAGACTGTTAGTAATGATATTGTAGTCAAAACAGCATTTCATATTAATACATTTTTTTGAGTTGCTGCATTTTTTTTCTTTTTTCATTTTAGAAGTGGTTTTCAAGGCATATCTAATACAGAATTAATAAAATCAGAATAGGGTTTTTGTGCAGTGGGATCAAGAAGTGTTTCCATATTGTTACAAATTGCTGATGCACTGTAACACAAGCTGCAATATATTGAAAGCAGCTGGCAACTACATAGCATGAAGACGCCCTATAACTAATGTCAAACAGTATTTCTGAGCACAAACAAGTAGCAAGTGGTTCACATATGAAAGGTGACATCTATTAAATGCATACAACCGACTTTGTTCTCCGTTGCAGCAGCATATCACAGCTACCGAATGAAAAAAAAAAATTAAAATTTAAAAAATATACATGTGGAAAAATAAAACATTATATGTTGGAGAGCTGAGCTGTGTCAAGAAAAAAAAAAAATTGCCACCCAAATCAGAGCCTAGTATTTTCCAAATTTGGTTCTTAAACTTTAAACATCGAACTGTCTCTGTGATGGACTGCAATAAGGTACTTTGTAAATTAGGGGACTTTTATTGAGACACTTAGAATACACTTAGCTGAGAACACCTGAGAGAGGCAGAGTAAACTACAGTACTTGTCTAGGATTTGACAGACTGGAATCAGATCCTCCACGACTTTCAGACAGCTGCATCCCACCTGGCTGGAGGGGCAGGATGGGTCTACGTTTGCCCCGCAATCCTATCTCACAGCTCAGACAAAGCCTCAGAGACTTGGTTTCCCATGCATAAAATGGTGATACTACTGTGTTTGCCTCAGAGGCATGAGGATCTCCTCACTCTGCTTTGGGAAGCGTATACCTAGTGCGGTAATGATGACCATATAATAACCTAAAATTAAGACCTCAGTCTTACGGAAAATCAGTGGTAAATCACTACGTCACT